CCGCAGGAGACGAATCGAACCGGGATACTCCACAGTCTCCACACCGACGACCTTGCCGCCGGCCTCGATCCCGCCGTCCGGGCCCCCTGGTCGAGGGCCCTCCTCGCCGTCGACCAGCCACTCAAATGGCACGCCGGTGCGCAACGCCCACAGCATCAGCGTGCGTTTGTCCGGGTTCGTGCGCCCACCGGTGTAGTTGCCGATGGTGTTCCGCGACACTCCGAGGTAGTCCGCCATTGCCTGGTGGCCCATCCCGGAGACGCGCAGCGACTTCACAAGCCTGTCGGTGATATCCCAAGTGGGCACCGCCCCCACATTTGCCTGTTCACTCATGGCTACATGTTTGCACATGGTTATGCACAAAGGCAATACAAGCGCGACACACCCGTCTCAACGTGTTGACACCAGAGTTGTGCAATGCCAAAGTTCACGCCATGCCACCGAACATGCTCAACACCGAAGGCGCGGATCTGCTGAGCTCCGAGACTTCTGCGGTTCTCGAGATCGATCGGTCGACGCTGAGCCGCTGGGTGAAAGACGGCAAGATCCGACCAAGTCGCAAGCTGCCCGGTTCCCGAGGCGCATTCCTGTTCTCACGAGCCGAAGTCCGGCGAGTGAAGCGTGAGCTCGACGCAGAGCAGCGCCGGAAAGTGCGGCAGGCCACTCGCACGAAGGCGGCGTCCTGATGCCGTGGCGAAAGGCGTTCCAGCGAGTCGGCCCCGCCGAGCCCATTTCGATGCCGCCAGTGGTTCAGATCGAGGTGGTTCGGCCGGACGGGTCGCTCGCCAGGATCCAGCTCGTGCGCTCGCTCCGGCCCGTATGGAACGCAGAGACCGGGCGGGGCGCTTGGACCCCGATCAGCGGGCAGCAGCTGATCCCCGGTGAGACACCGGGGACGGCATACAGCTGGCGGGTTGTCTGCGCTTTCGCCGACCGGATCTTTGTCGACGATGGCGATCGGCGGAAGTCGCCGACCGGCCAGGACCACAGCGTTGACGATTCAGGCGATGACCCCTCGGGCGAGCAAGTCATCGATAAGCCGCTGAAGGGTCTCGGCGGTGAACAGCTGGGCCTGGAGCAGCACCCGGATGGTCTCCGAATCGGTGGGAGCCTCACCAGTTTCGTTGAGCCTCTCCATCAGCTTTCCGACCTCGTCACGAAACTGCATGAACTCATCGAGGTTCATGAGTCTTCCTCCCTACGTCAGGCCCGCGCCGGAATCGCGGGTGCTGACCAAACCGTAGGGCAGGAGGCGCCGGACGACGGCCGCTCCTGCGCAGAAAACGACTGGCCACAGCAGCCCCGTTCTTCCTCGTCTGGCTCCCCTGGCTGACGAGGAACGGCGGCGCGGGCGAGTGTGTGCTCCTCCCCCCTGCTGCGCGTGAGTCCGCGCCGCCACCCCTTACCCGCACGTAGAAGAACGGGCCCCGGTCTGCGCCTACCCAAGGACGACCGTGGACCCGCCCAACAAGAAGGGAATTTACCCGATGTCCAGCGAGTACCAGCCGAAGCCCGACATGGAGTTCGTCACCGGTGTCGGCTACGTGAAGAAGGAACCCCGCCCACGGGTGTTCCTCAGCGAGCAAGGCCTACCCGGCGCTCGCGGGAACACTCCTTATCGCCGTCCCACGCGAAAGCCGGTGTCGAAGAAGGCGTTTCGGCACGCGACCCGCGGGCAGGCA